CCCGGCGCCCCCTGCCAAGTCCCCGCCCCGCTCCCTGCATCCCGGCGCCCCCTACCGAGCCCCCGCTCCGCTCCCTGCAGCATGGCGCTCACTGCTTAGCCCCCGCCCCGCTCCCTGCAGAACAGTGCCCCCCGCCGAGCCCCCGCCCCGTGCCCTGCAGCCCAGTGCCCCCTGCTGAGCCCCGCTCCGCTCCCCGCAGCCCGGTGCCCCCTAGAGTCACAGTGGGGCACTGGGGCCAGCACTGACTGCCAGGGGAGAGCGCCCCCTGCTGAGCCCCCCGTCCTGCTCCCTGCAGCACAACGCCCCCTGCTGGAATGCCTGGAGATTGCAGTGCCCTGCCCCCGTGCATGTATCTGTCCGTCTGCCCCTCCCCAGGTGGAGGAGATCCGCGGCTGCATAGAGAAGCTGTCAGAGGACGTGGAGCAGGTGAAGAAGCAGCACAGCGCCATCCTGGCTGCTCCCAACCCAGACGAGAGTGAGTTGGGGTGCCCCAGGCTGGGGGGTCTCTGAGCCCCATCGCCTCCCTGCTCTGCTCTCCAGCCACCCCTTCATTCCTCCTTCCTTCATCTATCAACCCATTCACACCTTTATCTATCCATCCCTCTCCTTTCATTCATCCCTGTCCACCCATACATCCCTCTCCCTTCCTCCTTCCATCCATCTCGCTGTGCCACCATCCCTCCCTCCACCCATCCCTCTCGCCTCCTCTTCATCCGTCTGTCCAGCCACCCATCCGTCTGCCTGCCAATCTGTCCTCGAGCCATCACTCCATCTGCCTACCCGACTGTCCGTCCCGCCCTCCGGCTATTCATCACTCCATCCCTCCATCCCATCATCCATTGCTCCCCATGTACGCGCCTATCTATCTGTATCCACGCTTCTCTCCATTCACCCAGCTGTTCCAGACCCCGTCCCCAGTGTGGAAGGTGGGCGGGGCGGGGGGGCAGGAGGGGACTCCCCGCCGGGCATGCCCGCCATGGGGATCCCAGGGGGTCAGGGGGCTGGGAAGGTGGCCTCACCCCCAGTGTGGGAGGCGGGCATGGTGGAGACTTTCCATCTCATGCCCCCCTCTTCCCCCCATGCAGAGACCAAGCAGGAGCTGGAGGACCTCACGGCCGACATCAAGAAGACGGCCAACAAGGTGCGCTCCAAGTTGAAAGGTACGAGCCCGGGTGGCCATATTGGCTGGTCCTGCACGCCCTCCCCTCCAGGGCATATCACTCCGCCCTGAAGAATACTCCCCTTCTTCCATGCCAAGGGGGTCCATGGCTCTGATCCTGCTCCTCTCGTCTCTCCACAGCCATCGAGCAGAGCATTGAGCAGGAGGAGGGGCTGAACCGGTCCTCGGCTGACCTGCGGATCCGTAAAACACAGGTATCCCTCCGCCCTCCCCCCCACGACACAGGTATCCCTCCACCCCTCCCCCCTCCAGACACAGGTATCCCTCTGTCCCTCCCACCCCCCAGACACAGGTATCCCTCCGCCCTCC